ATGAACTTGCTCTAGCTGTGATGACAACCGTCGATCCTCACACTTCTCTAGTGCTGGAAACCGATGCTTCAGATATAGCAATAGTCGCTATACTATCGCAGAACGGGAGACCAGTTGCGCTTTTCTCACGGACACTAACACCTTCCGAACAGCGTCACTTTTCCGTCGAGAAAGAGGCCTGTGCTATTTTCGAGGCAGTCCGAAAATGGCGGCATTACTTANATCGGTTCACATTTTCTTATAATCACTTATCAGAGATCAGTCACATTCATGTAGGACAAGCAACAGCGAAGAAAAGTCAAAACCGAGAGAATAAAGCGCTGGAGATTAGAACTACCTTGCTACAGCTTCGACGTATTATATCGTCCGGGTAAAGAAAACGCAGTTGCTAACACTCTCGCGTGCACATCACATCCATATTATCTACCGTGTCCTTAAAGGAGCTTCACAATTCTCTATGCCATCCCAGCATCGTGCGTCGTGTGCATTATGTGGGATCCCGACATTTACCTTATTCCGTACAAGACGTAAAAAACACCATCGCCCAGTGCACAGTGTGTTCCGAATTAAAACCGAAATTTTGCGAACTGCCCACCGGGAACATTATCAAGACCACCGCTTTATTTGAGAGGCTAAATATGGACTTCAAGGGACCAATACCATCACATACACCTAAGAAATATTTACTCACAATAATTAATGAATATTCGTGATTCATTTTCGCATTTCCGTGTATCGGTATGGCAAATTCTACCGTCATCAATCACCTCTGTCAATTATTTTCTGTATTTGGTACACCTTATATTCACACCAATCGTGGTTCCTCATTCATGTTAAATCAACTAAAACGTTTCCTTCATGTTAAAAGAATCGTAACTAGCCGAACCACCGCATACAACCCGCAAAGTAACGGACAGGTTCAACGGTTCAACGGTACACTTTGATGTGCAATCACCCTAGCCGCCAAATCCAGATCTTTATCTTACAGGGATTGGGAAGTTCTTCTCCCCAATGTTTTACATTCTCTTCGTTCCCTCCTGTGTACCGCTACCAATCAGTCCCCTCATGAACGTCTGTTTAAGTATAATCGCAAGTCAACATCCCGCAAATTACTGCCAAGTTGGCTGACTGTTCGTGGACTGGTTTTAATGAAGCGCCTCTCTCGGGTATCAAAGTAAGAGCCAATGGTTGACGAGGTAGAGCTGATTGAATGTAATCCAAGGTATGCTCACGTCAGACTTCCAAACGGTAGAGAAGAAACGGTGTCCATTTATCATCTAGCCCCTGTATCATCATCGTGTCCACCATCAATCCCCGAAAGTCCATTCATCGAACCTATATCGAATGATGCCCCTATTGACAGTGCACACAACCAATCGACAGATGATTTCATTTCACCTCACATGGCAAACACCTACCATCCCGCGAATAGCCAACAACCTTCACTTTAATAATTACAGCAACGAACTCGCCCGTATAACTTATGAAGCAGAGAGGCCTGACAACATTTTCTTTACCGGGGGAGAATGTCGTGTATAGCACTCGTGTGTCTACTGCATATCGCTGTATTCGTAACATTTCTCTTTTATACGTTTCAGCCTATATGCCAGAGTTGTCAGACGAATAAAGCCTTACACCTCCGGGCTCTCAGTCTTCTGTATCTCGAGCAACTACCGACTGTTGTCATCTCGTATTCAGTACATAACAATCATAAAACTCGTCCTTTTGTTCATCAGAACTGCAGTTGGTCGGAGCATACGCCGAAATGATGAATAAAAACCTTTTGGTGTTACTTTCCTTTCGGACGTTGGTAGACCCTTGGAGCCGCATCGCACATAAGCGGATGTTGACGGGGATCCAATCGAGTAGTGTGGCTTCGGCGGTATTATTCAGTACAATACCCACACCACGCTGGCCTACCGAACGGGTTTCGGCATCACCTGACGTGCGAAGAACCTTGAAGACAACCCCTAAGTGGCATATAGTAATAGGATCCTGGATTCGAGTCTCCGACACGCAGCAGACATCAATCCCAAAAGAGTCTATTGTACGCGCCAGACACGCTTGTTGACCTACCTGCATCAGAGTCCTCACGTTGAAGGCCCCAGATTCAGTGACTGACGAGGCTTCAGAATATTCAATCTATTTTGTGGTAAACTACTTACCGAGATACTTGACAACGAACTTTGGCCATTGACGAACAAGTTGTCTGAGGGAATGTTACGGGTTGGAAGAAAGGGTAAAGGGAGAGGGCTGGGTACGAAAGATAAAGAGTTAAACAAAGGTTGGGATATCTGAGCAGTAGCCCACTTGTCACTACCCACCCCGCTCGATGCAACGGGCAGTGCGGTCCTGAGTACCATGCGAGACGACCGATGCAGTATGGATTCATTTTTTGGTTGTGCATGCATTTGAGTGTGATGGACGGGTACTGCCAGTGTCCAGCCACTAAGCAGGAAAACGATTAGGGTTCTCGTTCAAAGCCTTTAACTCCAACAGAAACCTAACCGCAAGGCAGCGGGTGAAGCGAAGTGGAGGTCTATTTACTGGGATCAATTACTCCTCTACCATTTTACCGACCGAGACGCTAACTCGAGTCGAACCCCCAACCTGGAGGAGAGGGGACTTAGTTGCCCACAGTTCATCAACCTGATTACGGCCCAGACAACGTTCTCGAGACAGGAAGATAGTAGGTAAAACCTACTATTTGAAGGTAACACTCCGTGAGACAAATGCGAGGTTTCGCATACTCCCTGAGTAATTAGAGATTTATGATAAATACACAGTTTTAGTCGGACGATTCTTCTGAAAGGAACTTCATATACTTGAGCAGCGTTTGACCTGTTCCGTGATTTAGACGAAAAAAAGGACAATTGGCAATTTATTGTCACCTTACACATCATCGACCACCAATCTTATCCCTCTGGAAACTCGGGGAGCTTCAGTGCTAGGCTGTAATCCTAACGATCTAAGAAGTAGTAAGTGTATCGGTGTATTAGGGGTCAGATATTCTGAAATCCCATTCGGAGAGGGCAAAGAAGTCAGTTAGTTGTCGATTTTTATCAAAAGGACCTCGATTGTTTTACAAATCAGAACAGGCGAAGCTATCGAAGAGGGAAAACTAAAAATACCTGACCATACACACACACAAAGCGACCGGTGGTAGTCATTTCTATTTGGCACTTGTGGAATCGCACGCATGCACAAACAAACAATAAAATTCGTGGGGGAGGGTAAGACAAAGTCAGTTGGCGCGATGAGTGTGTGTGTGTGTGTGTGTGTGTGCGTGTGTGTGTCGCAGTCGTGTTCGATCGTTGGTGAGGTATAGAAAGAGAGAGAGAGAAATAAAATCAACAATAAACATATAGGAGAGGATCTTACATCAGCAAATAAAAAGGGGTAACCGGGAGATTGTTGCAATTCGAAGATCGTGATAATGCAATTTAGGTCACATGGAATACAATTTGATAGGAAAGTGGAAAATAAAACTAATTTAGACGCTATCCTCCGAGTGACGGTATGTCATGGGCACGCCTCGTTCAAGTTCAGATCCAACAAATACGGAGTCAGATAAGTGATGATGACTGTGGCACCTGTAAAAAGTGAAAAGAAAACCGGATATCAGATCGAGACGGAATTGTTTGCGAGTTGTGACATGGGACGATTAACATGTTGATTTTCACAAACTATTCGCAGTCCATTCAGTCAATCATACACTAAAGGAGGATCAGAATACAGTTTCCGGGATCACTCATGGGGTCTTGATCTACAGACTGCACGTTTATCCCCGACTCAAGACCCTAGTTGTATGAATATATGTATATATATATATGTGTGTGTGTGTATGTATGTATGTATGTGTGAACAAGAAACCAACCCCCGATGCGTTGATTGGCGCCAGTGCTAAACTGCCTGAAAGAAAAATAATTTCCTGAGGAGTTCACAATCGCAGCTTTCGGCTAGCCAAAGACTGGTCCGCAATATGGCTGAGCTCGAAAATCCCGGATTCCTCAAACAGAAGGTACGTGTGTTATCAATGGGACAACCTCCTAACAAGTGGGCTGACCGATTCGCTCTTGGTTCACGTGCTGCGGTAGAATATATAATTTTAGGGACTACATGAAACCAGAACCTTAATATGCTACTGTAGAGACGCATGCAATCGCCGTTCGTCGGAATACGAATAAGTGGCTCAAATCACCCGCATCAGAGCTGGCCGATCTATCTGGACTAGTATCCAAACCGTTCGATAATTCAGTCGAAAAACAATCTCGTTTATCCAGGCTCAACAACACCGCCATTCAGTTTGGGGAGTATGAAGTGCAGCGGGTCGAATTCTACGGGTTTACAGTAATCACTTATGCCAACAGAAATCCCAATCCTGTTTGCTGGTAGTGTGCTCAAACACATGACATGATGCTACTTCCCTGCCCCGTAAGGGAATTTTATCTCGGATAATGCACGATCTACAAATAAAACATACGAAGACACTGGGGTTGGTCTTTGGTACATCGTTGTTCAAAAAAATTGTTTTATTCGCAGGGATATGATAGAACTGAATGAAAATTCGCCAATAAATGACTAGCTTTTTAGATGCAAAAGTTTATGGGTCCAATGAGCCTAGAGGAACTTCTAGGAATACAGTTTACAGGCACTGTACTGACCTGCGCGACGGAAGGAAGTCATCAATTCCAACGCAGCCTGTTTCAAGTCCAAACAGCCCGCCTGGGCAGCATGAATTAGCATCGCATACTCACCCGAAACGTGATAGACAACCAAGGGATGGTTCGGTAGCTGGGAAAAAAGAAACACAGGGTTTGAAAAGTGACAGAAATAGGATGCACGACAAAAACAATGAAAAAAGTGGTGGTGGTG